CACTCCTCACCTCTTCCCAAAGGGCATGTCTGTCACTACAATGTCCACAGAGCCAGTCCGCAGAGGCAGGTTGCAGATATCCCACTGGATGACGTCCAAGGGAACGCCCAGGGCAGTGCTGCTGCAAGGGCAAAGGCAGTTACCTCAGACATGAGCACTCAGAAGCTTTTTACACTGAGGAGATCTAGAATGTTGGCAGCAGAATAAACTGGAAAATATGAACTAGACACTCAAAAGCATCAATGCAAAGTGGATTTCTCCACGTACAACACTGCAGGAAACAGAAATCCCTTGTGCTCCTCTCACCTGTCCTTACTCTCGTTTTTCCTCAGTAAGGAGCAGATGTTGTTTGCTGCTCTCTTCACAGCCTGAGGGTTGTTATCCCCTGCAATGTGGTAGCAGCAGGGCCATTCCGCAGCTCCCTAGGGGAGAGTTGATAATAAGCAACATTAGCATCAACACTGCTTGACTGAAAACACAACAAACAGAAGAATTACTCAAACATGACAAAATACAACAAAGCAACTGCAAGTGGATGGCAAGGAATTTACAGTTCTGTAACAGAGCGCTGTTACAGGTATTATGCACCTTTAAGGCTCAAATACTTTTGGATTTAGATTCTTCCTGCTACAGCCTAGAGAAGAAAATGGTCACTTACAAAAAGTGTATTTGTATCTGTTCAAAAGATGGTGAGATCGGACCTTGCTATTCAGTCATTACCAAGAAGATTTACACACATTACTGAGTTGCAGATACTGTTAAGTTTAATTAAGTTAAAAAAATCACAGAAGAATCACCTCTATTGGTATTGCACCTGTACCACACATGGGATCAACTATGATATCCGTGGGCTGGGGATCACAGAGTCTGAAGGACAGAAGAAAAGATACGGTGAGAAAAGCCAAGAAAATCTGAATTCCTCTAAGGAAGGGAAAGTGAACTATTTTAATAATTCTGATTCTACCCTTCTAACAAAAAAATGTGATTATTTTTTCAATATGTTAATTACCATTTTATAAACAGCAATACAATGAAATTCTGTCACAAATGTGATACGCCATTTTGAAACTAAGCTAACACAGCAAAGATTTATTTTCCTTGTCTGGGAAACAGCCACTGTAACTACAAAGCACACCGTGTCAGCAACTCTGCTTTTTAATTTTTTTTTCAAGAATTAACAGAAATGGCTTCTGAGGAAGCAGCAGGGGAATAAAGGGTCTAATTTCTGAAACATAAGGACTCATTAACCGAGTATAATAGTATGAGTATGAGTAGCCCTGACCTGAGCATGCCGTAAGCCAGAGTCGAACGCAGCGTTGTGGGTCCGAAGTGTGTGATATTCCGTCTGTGAAGGCTCTCTTCAGTTAATGCAATCCCCACCACCACTTCATTGTTGTGAATATTCAGAAGAACCTAAAGAAAAAACCCGAACTGAATTTCAGGAGTTTCCATAGTATGCCCGGTAAATACTTATGGGAAGTTATATGGCAATTTAAAACCCAGGAACGATGTATAAAAGAGCTTTTCTTCTTGCAGGAAAAGCAAAGCCCCATTTTTATGACCATAAAGGATAGAACATGGGAGAGCATTCACATATTCTCTGTTACTCAGAATCTTTTAAACGAGACTTCTCAAAGTGCTATGACAATTACACTGGCATCCTAAAAGCTTTAGTTTGTAAGTTTGGGGAAGAAGCCAAGTAAGTCCTGTAAGTCACAGGGAAGTATCTGCAAAGCAGCAGTAAAATTCACATTTGTGGTGGAGACCATATTAGCATCTTGCTCCAGGGCAGTGACCAGCCCTTAGTAGTCCTGCAAGAAAAACTAAAGTTTTTCTGTCCCTCAGAAACAGTGGTCCTGCACCACCAACGGACCAGGGGTGTTGGCTGTGCTTTCCCAAACTCTGCTCTCCTCTGACAGGAAATAAACACTAGACAGTTGCTGTTAACCCCTTCTGTTCCCTTCACCCATAAAACCATCTTCCCAGATGGAGCATCTTCTGATAACTTAGAGTGGTATTAAACAACGGAACAAGGACAGGTTCACTGAGGGTAAAAGCAAAGCAGAAGACATCAAGATTACTTTTTAATATGAAGGAGCTCAAAGGCTATAGCAGGTGGTAATACTCAGAACTCAAGCCTTTGCTGTGGCTGGGAGAGAGCGGAGAGCTTTCCAGCCTCAGCTCAGCCGTGCTGGGTTCATCAGCTAACGAGAGGAGACAGCAGTGTTTGAACAAATGAGAGGCCCGGGCAAGGGAGAGGTGCCACACTGGGCCACTCTAGAGATTATTATCATGGATAGCCAAAGCACCAGCAAGTGCTGGAATCCGAGGACACGTGAAGTGCCAGGGAAATGAATACTTTCAGTTCCAGTCTCTGAAAGGCAATTTGGGCATCGCTAAGCATCACAATTAAGAACTAAAAATTTGTACAGCAGAAACGCAGGCATTTCCAAGGCACCCCACCATACCTCCACATCGAAGTTCGTCATGTCAGCTTTCCACTGGAAGTGCTCCTGCACAGCTCCACCAAAGTCTCTCGCAGCCTCGTTTGATGTGAAGCTGTGCTTGTCTCCAGCTCTGTTGCACGTCACTCGGAACTTCAGCACCTTCGCCTCTTCTTCAGCTGTCTGACCATCACCAGCCTTGGTCCCACTCCCAGAATTCGCCTGCACTTCATCCCTTGCATCCAATTGCTCATTATCCTCCTCGTCCTCCTCCCCCCCATTTTGGGATGCCATGCCTTGGGGCTTCTCCGTATCCTGGCTGCCAGCAGGTTCCACACCCGCAATGTTTTGGGCACAGTCCTCCTGGTCATTAGTGTCTTTTTGGTCTGCTCCTCGCTCTTCTCCACCATCATTCAGCTTCTCCCTGCTTGCAGGACTCTGCGAACTGTGTTTTTTGCGTTTTGTCTTTTTCTTTTTTAAGCTATTGTTCAGCTCCCAAACTTTCAACGGATCGGTCCAGGGCAGCTTTTTAACCAAATCTTCCAAATCCTTTAAAGCATCTTCCTTTAACAGACAGAAGTTGTTGTGCTTTGAAGTCATTCCATTCCTTTTAAAGTTATCTTTTACTTATAGATCTATCAAAGTAGTTTATTTAACATTAACCCACTACATCTTTAAGCAAAGCTTATAGCTTTTTGTCTGATTCTTGCCATAACTAAAAGCAATTACACTGAAAATCAGAAGACCCACAGGATTTCACAATTTATCTCATAAAGAAACATCTAGCACTGCATTAAGCGACCAAAGCGATACATCACTGTCCCATGTTTGTGATCTACAAACATGGCACCACCTCTCATCCCAGATTTTGCCAATGCAATATATTCAACTAAAGGAATGTTAGACATGGCCACGCTTCCATTTACAAGCCAGAAAAGGGGAACTCAAATAATATCACAACAAAAAAACCCAACAAACTTTTTAATCAAACGGAATACTTTGACACTAGTCTTAAATTAAAAAATAGCCAAACCAAACACTTCAAACCCCAGAAGGGATCGAAAAATGAGGAATACCTCACCTTATTTTCTTTAAATTGATAGTCTTTAAACTCTTCAACAACAACAAATAAATTATCCACTGACCGCAGACGGTGGACCTGGAGGAGATGAGAAGGCACGGTGACACGTTACTAACCGCGTGTCGTGGGGACCGTGTTTACTATCGTTAGAATTTTGCCATCTTACATGCACGATTTTCCACTTTAGTCCCCAAGGGAGTTATCACTTTACGCCTCTGCACCGATTTAACCTCCCCAGTTTTGACTTAATCTCCCCTTCAAACCGCGATAAAGGCGGATACAGCTTTGGCACCCGGGCCGGTCGCGGCCTCCGACACCGGAGCGTTCGGCTCAGAGGGGCCGTGACCCTCCGAACCGGGCCGGGCCGGGCAGGGCCGGGCAGGGCCGGGCAGGGCAGCGAGGCCGCGGCGGGGACAGCGGAGCGGGGAGCGGAGCAGGCGGCGTGCACGGACCTGCGGCAGGCTCCGCGCCGGGACCGCGAAGTAGATCTTGCCCCGGTCCCTGCTGATCCTGGAGGCCGAGCCCAGCTTCTCCTGCACCTCCTCGGCCGCCGTCTGCTCGAACCCCGTGGGCACGGTGGCGCCGATAACGGCGGCGAGCTCGGCGCCCTCCTGGGCTGGACCCGGACCCGGACCCGGACCCGCGTCACCGGCCGCCTCCGCCATGGCAGGCTGCCGGGGGAGGGAGGCTGCCGGAGAAAGGAGACCGCCGAGGGAGGGAGACCGCCGGCAGCTCCGACCGCCGCGCCACACCGACCACAGCCACGGTCCCGCCGCCCCACGCGCCCCCGCCCCTTCCGCTTCCCTGCCCGGCGGCCCCGCCCGCGCTGCCCGCGGGTCGCTGCTCCGAGCGGGCGGGAGGAGGCGCCGCGGCCCGCGGGGAGCGGAGCGGGAGGGAGCCGATCCCGCGGGGAGCGGAGCGGGAGGGAGCTGATCTCGCCGGCCCGTGGGGAGCGGAGTGTGAGGGAGCCGATCCCGCGGGGAGCGGAGTGTGAGGGAGCCGATCCCGCGGGGAGCGGAGTGTGAGGGAGCCGATCCCGCGGGGAGCGGAGTGTGAGGGAGCCGATCTCGCCGGCCCGCGCTTCCCCGCGCCCCTCAGCGGAGCGGCCGGCGCCGAGCCAGGCACGCGTTCCTGTCTGTGTGTGACACGGCGGTGACAGGACAGCCGGGCAGGTTCCTGCCCCGATGGACAGTGAGCTGTCACCGGACATCCAGGGAAGGCAGCAGAGTCGGGGAAGGCGGTGGTTCCGTGCGCGTTCCCACTGTGGAACAGGAGCCATCGATGTACCTGGAGGAGCGCTGGGTCACTGCCCGGTTCCAAAGCCAACACAGCCCGTGTCCCTCTGTCCCCGCAGCCCCCGCGGTCCCGCACGGAGCTCCCGAACAGCCGCACAGCGCGGGCCTCCTCTGCCGCCGCCTCTCCTGTGCAAACCATCAGGGGCCAGTTCCCTCTTCGTTCCTTGTTATCCCTCGATCGTCGGGCTGCTGTCCTTGGCATGTTTCCAGCACTAGAGGTTTTTTTAAAGAAAAACCTATCAGCTAAATGTTCTTTCGGGAGGCATAGAGAGGCCACCCCAGCTGTCTGCCATGGCCATGCCTGTGTCACTATGCCCAAGCGTGATCAGCATGAAGCTGAAGAGGCACTATTTCGCTCCTCTTTTCTTCAAGTCCCAGAGTCTTTACCTTTTCCCAGTACTGGACTGATAAATGTAAACACAACGTGTCCCTGCAGCTTCTCTGTCTGCAGATGCAGTGCGTGTACTGGCAGCAGCATTGTCTGTCTTCATTTCCCCCTGTGAGTTCTGGTTGGGCTGTGACATTCAATGTCGAGCAGGAGGCCTGAGGCACTGCTCCTGCCACTGAGTCTTCAGAAGCATCGCTTTGCTTTCACATGAGAAGGGAGAGGGAAGGTGTGGGTTTACTTGTGATTCAAGTCTGAAAAGATAAAATGAAAATGGTGGAATTTGGATCATAAACACCCTGGAGAAAGTTTGTGAAATGGCTTCTCCGATGAGAACTTAAAATGTGCTAAAGCAGAGGCAGCCACAGATTTTGCACAGCTTTATCCTGCAGCAACTAGTACAGCAAGGGTGAGCTCTGTGGTTCAAGCGGGATAATGAGCTCGGGTTGCTGAGCTACTTTCAATAGCAGAATTTTCAGCATATTTTGGTGAAGGTGTTTGCCATACACTTAAATGGATTCCGTATGTCTGGCCTAGCAGCAGCAGCTCTGACCTTCCCAGCTGGCCCCACATGGGAAGGTGAGAAGCAGGGATCAGCCTGCTCTGCTGCAGCTCTCAAAATCTGTCCAGGCACCACTTGCAGAATGGTTTCCTGCCAGAGGCCAAGTCCCACAGCAGCTCTTCTACCTCTGTTTTGCTAGGAAAGAAAATATGACAAACTGTCTTCAAGATCAAACCAAAGCTGCGTTTTTGTGTCCATTATGAACTGGTTTCCCAGAGCCAAGGAACCGAACTGGCTCCCAGGAGCAGCTGCAGTCAGTTAAGGAAAGCAGGTGCCTGTTGGGCAGCTCTGTGAGCCCTGCTTACAGGCAGTAGCGGTTCCTGATGAGCTGGCAGCATCGATTTCATGGCTGGTTTAGTGCATACTCGAGGAAGAGCATTGCTGTCCACTTGTCTGGAAGGGTTTGTGGCCTGGGGAAGCTGGATCTGTCCGTTTGGAATGCATGTGTCAATAGCAGGCTGGACCACAGAGGATGCTGAATGTTTCTGCACTCTTGCTCCTCAGGTTATCAATGGAATGATGGAGATAGCAATTGTCCAATTGACCAAAGAGTCCTAATATTATCTTGTTGTTGGAGGTGTTTGGTTAACAAGGGACCTTCCCACCTTTCCTGTCCCCAGCAGATTTTGCATAGGACCAGATAAGCCACAAGTAGCAACTTGTGCCTGGGTAGCATGGGTGGCTGCAGAGCCACTCTGGGAGGTCAGAGCTGTAATAAGGCCACAGGGGATGAGCACCTCATTCTACAGAATGTGAGACATGTGCTGAAAATATCAGACTGGTCAGCCTTGCTGTATTGGTTGTACACCTGTGCCCAGGGACCGAGCTTTGTCATATGTGAGGTCTGTGAAATAGAAGCTCACCCTTCATGGAAGCATGCACTGCAGAGTGCCGGTGTGGGGCTGGACCCAGGCCTGGACATGTGGCACGAGGACAGGAAACGGTGCTTGGATGTTAAATGTGGACCAAACCAATATTCATGTAACACAGTGTTCCTAAAATGGGCTCCCAAAGTACTCCAGACTTGGGTAGCTTTTCATAGACTGTTGCTCCATTTGGCAGCTAGAGGTAAAAAGGAGGGGTGGTGGCAAAGCTGAGGCCTCAGGGAGCCAAAGCCTGAAGCCTTATTTGAAGGTGGATGAGCAAGATCCCATTACTGTTAAGTTTACCTTTGATTTTGAGTGAATTTATATTTTAGAAAATCAAATTTTTTGAAAAGCATATTCAGGAAAAGAGTTGCCTGTTACTGCAGCTAATGCAGATCTGGATTGTATTTTTTGCTTGTGGCAAATGGATTGGGCTGGACACTTGTTCAGAGAACGGGGCAGTGGTAACTCCCAGCTCCAGCCACCTGAGCTTATATTTCTGAGTTTCCCATCCTGTCGTTAGGCATCTGAGTCCAGTTGCCAGGTACCTCCAGCAACTGCAAAGTCTTGTCTAATATTGTAGGTACCTAAAAGCCACAGATACTTAATTTCTGTCAGCAGGCATGAACATAACTGCTGAATTCCTGAAGGTGTTCATCAGTTTGTGCCCAAGGCCTGGGAAGGTTCTCAAACAAGATCTTTTCTTTCTCCAGCTTGCCCATGGAAGCTGCTCCAGAGATACTGATCTCTGCTTAAATCAAAGCATATCTACCCTGTACCCCAACCTCTCCCAGAACAAAGATACAGAGACTTTTTGTGGTTAGCTTTTTGGGCTCTCTTTTGTTTTGTCACTCGAGTGGAGGGAGAGGATTAGGGGAGGCACTCCATGGTCATCCCTGTGTCCCCACAGTGGTCTCAGGAGTGCTGGAATCTGCAGGACCCATCCTGGGTATTGCAGGGGGCAGTGGTGGTGCCACTCTCCTGTGCCCAGGGAGATGCTCACCCACAGCTCCTCTCAGGCTCAGCAATTATGCCCTGTATCAGCCATCAAATGGTAATTGCTCTGCTTGTTCTTCACTAAAGATCTGGCATTGAGCAGGTGAAGAGCCCACTGAGATGAAGTCAGCTCTGGATTGGATTTAATTGGATCAGGCTTGTTTTGTTGGAAAAGGAAAGCGAAACAATACCAATTGGGGAAGAAATGTAAGGAATGAAATGGGGTTTGATCAGCATTTCCAAAGTAATTCAGTATGTTTTGTTTTCTGAAAGCTAAAGCCAGACATTGTATTCTGCCTCCTAGAATTTTTTCCTTTCGTCCTACTGCAGGCAGCCTGTACGCTCTCATGCCAGAACCTGTGACCTGAGGAACGAGCTGAGCTGCTCTGGCTGTTGTTTTATGGCTTCAGTCCTCCACAAGCACAGGAATTTAGAAGAATTTGGAGAAGGTGAGTTTGATTTCCAGCACTGCCAAATCTGTCTCGGAGGACTTTGTCACCATGGGCCTCAGAGAGGGAATTTTCAGAAAGACAGAATAGATTGACTGTGACTTCAAATAGGTTCTCTTGAAGCCATGTTTGATGTCTCAAAGGGCTGTTTCCTGGCTCCAGAGACTGCTTTTTAAAATACAGTTTTGTGTTTCAATATGTGCACAGATAATCCCTACAGTTATTTTAACAGATCTGGAAGCATAATTCAGAAGAGGGAGATATATAATCTTGTTGAGGCCCCACAGTTGTTGTGTTTTCTGTTACACCTGATGTGTCTGATTAGCTCCTACCTGAGTCCAAAAGGACACTGATGCTACAGAATATATGGCCTCAGGGAGCTACCATGGACACTGCTGAGCATCTTCAGAGTCTGCAGCTGTGTTTTACTAATGCCTTTGATATGAAGCTTTGTTTTCCTAACAGCTAATTTATTAGTGAACAAATTGAGGCTTTTGCATATTAAAAGACCTGCCAAGTATCACTTAGGGGCCAGAACAGAGACTAATGAAATTATAAAGTCTTTCCCCAACATCCAAAAAAAATGCTCTTATAAAGTCTTTTTAATTGTTCTCTGGGATGGAATGTAGAAGCTCTACAGTGTGTTGCAGTATCATGATTCACCTCCGTTACCCTGTGTGTGACCCCGTGCTGGGGACACGAGGGTCTGAGGATCCATCACTCCCACTCTTGGGCCGATGTCTGGCGTGTTAAACCACACATTCGAAGGGGTTCACTGCTGCTCCTGGTGTCACTGATATTTTGGGCTGAGGAAAATCAGTTTCAGGATCTTTTCTGCAGAACCACAGTGCTGTGTGAGTTCCAAGCAGTGGTACGGGAGTGCTGTGACCTCCTTCCTTCTGAGTCAGTGTAACCAACACCTGCCAGTGAGGCTGCCCATGCACAAGAGCTGCTGCTCCTGGCCAGTCAGTTATTTTGAGCTCATTGTTAGTCACTTCTGTGGGAGGAAAGGCAGAATTATTGTAGTGCTCCATAGAGCACAGTGACGTGTGAGGGGCTGCGTGTCCTGGGCTGGAACGAGCCTCGTGTGCTGCCTTCAGCAGCGTGTGCGGTGCAGGGAGGCTCTGCTGGCTTGGCTGGGAAATCACAACTCCTTACACAGCGGAAGCTTGGCAGAAATTGGAGTGACCTTTGTGCCAATGACTCTGCTGGGAGTTTCCTTAGTCTGCATGCAACCTGTATGGCCACTGCAGCTGGATGTGGCTGTGGACAGCGCAGCTGAATTGTCAGCTGATTTCTTCAAATATGTCTTGCTGAGATTTAAATTATGTTACTGGATGGAAATCCTTCTGTTGAGAATATTTGACAGGAGACTGGCATGTACGCAATTAAAGGACATTTCCGGGGAGCCTGGGGTTTTGGGTTTTATTTTAAGAAATCTATTAAACTGATGGACTAGTAGAAGTTCATTTCTATTTTATATGTAATGCTTTTAAGTGGGAAGCTTGCACTGTCTTTTACTGTGTGAAACAAGCAGTTTGATCACCTCCTTGAATCCTATTCTGCACAAAAATTCACCTTTGGAATCCTATCCCTGTGCTTGGGGTTTCAGAGCGGGAGAGCTGCTCAGGGAACGTGCAGACAGGAAGCTCTTGCTGTGAGTCACTCTGGCAGGGGCTTTCCCTGAATGAAGGGATTGAATCTGTGTTATCCTCTGTGAGCCTGTGTAACACACACACACACACAAACTAGATCCAGCATGCAGTGCAAGATCTACCCACATCCATCTGTGCCTCTTACTGGGGTGTGGCAAGGACTTAAGTCAGTCCAATGAACTGTGTTCATGGCTAACGGGGGTTGTTTTCATCTCTAGGAGGACAAGAATGTGCAAATCTGAAATCTCATTTAAAAAGTGCATTTCAAGAGAAAATATCACATGGACAGTGAGAGGTCTGAGGTGCTGCAGATGTGTGAGACAGACAAGAGAACCAGGTGAGAACAGTGTGCAGTGAAGGACTTATAAGAGTGTCACATCCCAGCTGAGTTAACTCAGCGTTCTGTTGTGTCCGAGATCACTGGGTGACAAAAGTAATGTCTTTACAAATAATTTTTCAAGGCATTTGTTTGGCAAGGCTAGTGAAGGCGATATAGGTTAGATATTAGGAAGAAACTTTTTACAGAGAGGGTAATCAGGCATTGGAATGGGCTGCCCAGGGAAGTGGTGGATTCTCCGTCCCTGGAGGTTTTTAAGGTGAGAATGGATGTGGCACTCAGTGCCATGGTCTGGGAACCACGGCAGTGTTGGATCAAGGGTTGGACTTGATGATCTTGGAGGTCTTTTCCAACCTGGTTGATTCTAGGATTCTATTCTATAATATCATAATTCAGGTGATGCTTCCACCTGTGCTTCACTATTCCAATAAAGAAATTATTGGGGAGAATACTTGACTCCTGCACATGGAAAGATGATGGGGAGAGAGTGAGAAGTAAAAAATGGCCTCTGTGCTTCCCCCGGCTTGGGAATCTGAGGGGGAAGAAGAAAGGCATGTGGGGGCCTGAGGAGTCAAAATGCTGATACTGCAAGGAATTTCTGCTCTGCATCGAGGCACAGTGACAAGAGGAGCTGTGAAGAGCTTTAGCTGACTTTGGGACTGCTGCCAGACTCCTGAACAATTCTGAACACATTCTTAAGTGTTCATTTTAAGGACAGAGAGAGCAGGGGAAATGACCATTTTAAATAATAAAAAAAATTGGTGATATCTTCCTTACTTTTATAAACAACTCACATGTGAGTGGTTTTGGAGTCTGCCTGTGCTCTGAATTTGAATGTGTCTGTGGCAGTGGGACTGCTGTTCCCTCCTTGCTGCAGCGACACAAGGACTCTGCAACAGTGCTCTGCTTGTGCTCTGCAGTGACAGCCTTGAGTTACTGATAGGGGAATGCTGGATTAAATGAACTGAAAACCTAAACAAGGGTTCAGGCCTTGGTTGTCTCCTCTTGAGCACTTGACCACAACCTGAGCAGGCAGCGCATCCAAGAGCAGGCACCTGGGACGGGTGCTGCTGAAGGGAGGACGTGGCCCCTCTGAGTGTGGGCTCGAGCTGCCTGCCAGATGGGAGCTGTCCATGGGCCTGGCTGGGAAGCTTCTGGACCATGGGAGGAAAATCTGTGACTTTTTGCCCGTCCCCTTCTATCCCTTCCCTGCCGAGTTTCTTCAGTGTGTGGGCGCTTGTGCTCGAACCTGTGGCCTGACCTGTCACACATGCCTTGCCATGGAGCCTCCTCTTCCTCCCTGCAGGCTGAGGGACCTTTCCTTGGGCTGGTCTGGGGGCAGTGCTGGCATGAGGAAGGTGCCTGCTTGCAGTGTGAGCCCTTCTCTCCTACAGGTGCTGTGCAGGGAGCATCAAGGGGAGAGGCAGCAATGTGCAAACACTGCATTTCCTGCTACCTGTCCTGCCAAACCCAGCAGATCCTTTGGGCCTCAGGGCTTGTACAGCTCACACAGAGACTTGTAGAGAGTTGTATGTACTTTACACTGCTGTGAGTGGACAGCCCTTTCTCTGCTGGGAAAAGGAGTAATCCTGGATAACTCATCTGCTTACTGCTCAATAACTTCATCCTAAATAGTTTTAAAAAGATTATATCAGTAAGATAAAAACTCAGATTTGATAATTAAGTTTCCATTCCAAACCCACAGTCCCCAGCAGGAGCTTATGAAGTGCCACCAGTCTGCATTAATTCTTCATGCAGTTATGTGCTCTTTAGGCCAGAGACAACCCCCTGCATGTTCTGGTTCACAAGTGAACTTTTGTGCATTACTGTACTGTGGGGAATGCTCTGTTTGAGCACATCTCTGACTGATCCCTGAACAGATTCTGCAGCACTGGGTTTTCCAGAGGCTGAGGGGAGATGCCTTCTGAGTTAGACACTGTGAAATCATCTGCAGGGAATCCAGGCTTCACTCAAGCACCAGCTTTTTAGCATTAAATCATGGGGGTATTTTAAAGTGAAACTGGTAAAGTTGTGCAACTCTGCAGTGAGCAGAGTCCAGAACAAATTCCAGGTTTAAATTTTCTCACTGTTTTTCTGCGATTTAGTGATTTGTCTGTTTTATATCCATGACTACATGGCTGTTAAGAGCAGACTTTTTTCATTGTCTGAAATACTTGCAGCCATGGCAGTAGTTCCTGGTTTGTCAGCCTCCTGGGCTGTGGATCTCAATCCTCTGGCCAGGCCATCCTGCTCTCCAGAGCTGCCCCACCAGCACGCTTTGCCCTGGGCTGGAGGGAATCCCTTCAGCAGGACAGGGATTTGTCTGAGCTGCAAAACAGTGAAGCCAGAGAACCAAGACTTGTTATTTTGGAATTCTGAAACATTACAATCCTCAAACCCATTTCATAGGGCTGGAGGATGTCCCTTTGTAGGAATGAATCCAATTTACTGCTGATAGGCATCACTCACCCAAATTGCCATCTGTCAGATTTTGGGTTGGAGGGTGTGGGGGTCCCTCCATGGCATTACACTCATTACCCATGTGTGTCCATTGCTCCCACAGTGGGCCTTGGCAGCCAGTTCAGCCTGTGAGATGTCGGGTGTGTTGTACTGAAGGGCTGTGGTACAGCTTGCAGAGGACAAACAGGATGTGCTGTGTGGCTCCTGCATGGGGATAACACAGTTATTCTGTCAGTTGTGTGTTATTCTGTGGGGTAAATCAGTAGGTGGGAGTGAGCTTTAGGGAGGCACTGGTTGTCCTTGATGTGTGGTTTTCCATACCCCATGATCCCCTAATACTTTCACATCATAGGACAGTGTGGAGGTGTCAGTCACTATCTCTGATGACCTGGTTTGTTTGGGTTTTTTTACCTGGATGCACTGTGAGCTGGAGCTGTTTTGGTTGAGAAGTGACAGTTGAGGGAACAGGGAGCAGCAACTCATCCCCCATGTTCCATCCCAAACTCACTCACACAGCAAACTTTATGGATTAGTGGGATTCAGTTCAGTGCAGAATATGTCAGAGCAAAGATCTTGTGTTGTTGGTGCCAAGTTTCTGCAGCTGTTTTGAAGCATTTGCAGCAGAAGGGCTGCAGTATTTCATGTGTTCCCCCATGGCCTGGCTCAAGCTTGTTATGAAACAGTGACCTTGCGGGTTGTTTGCTCAGGAAATGGGGCTCCCTCTGCTCTGGCCCAGCTCCCTGCGCATGCAGCAGCTTCCCCCTGAGGCTGCAGCAGGCTCTGGTGCTGGTGTCAGCAATATTTCCTCCCTTAAGCACATGCCAAGGGCTAGATGCCAAATGCTGGCAATGAAACAGCTCTGGGAAGAACCTGGAACAGGAGCGCAAGGGGACACAGGAGGATGCCAAGGCTACAGAAACAGGGGACAGCAACTGCTGGGATTGTGCTGGGGCAGGAGCACAGCCCCCAGCACTGTTTTCCTTAGTCCAGCAGAAGGGAAGGAGCTGGGACTGGATTGTAAAGAATGGGGGACTGAGGCCTTCAGGCTGAGACATGACAAGAGCTCTGTAAATAGCTCTTTTTGAGCTGAGAGAGAGAGAGTGTGAGAGGAGGGAAAAATAATACCCTGAGTGCAGGTAAATCAGCATCTTGTGACAAGAACGAAATGTGGGCTTATACATACATCTTGGTTGGCATTTGATGTGTTCTACAGAAAGTCAGACTGTGAGCACTGGGAAGCAGGAGCTTCCTTGGAAAACATGCTGTGTCTTTTGGACTAAAGAAATTACAATTAAAACAACAGCAGCTGAGGATTTTGCTCACCTTTGACATCTGAAACTTTACCATGCTCTTGAATTACAATATTCAGGATTTTTCTCTGCAGCTTGGTAAGGGAGCTTAATTAAAATCTGAAATGAAAGATCACATCAGCCTTTACTTTAAATGAAAATCCTCCACAAACTGTTGCCCTTCATACAAGTGCTGGCCACGAGTCCCCTGGAGCAATCAGGCGGTGTTGTTTGTGTTACAGTTGAGGTTGCCAGTTAGATCTGACAGCAACATTTTGCACTGACTCTGGGCACACAGACAGCTGGCACAGCTCTGCTGAGTTCCTGTTTTACACATGTGTTTTGCTCTGCTCCTCAAATCTGGGAGCGATTGGATCCCGTTGAATCCCTGCAGTGCCAGTGCTTTGGAACAGGAGCCCCGTCACACAGGGTCATGTCCTCACTGGAGAGGAGCTGTGAGAGCTGACAGGTATCACTCCTCTGCAGAGCTGCACAGCCCAGTGCCACGGGACATGGAGCCTCTGGAATCCTGCTGCAGGGAGTCACGGCTCTGCTGCGTGGAGCCGAGGTCGCTGCCGTGTCTTCTGGCAGTGAAATTAATAAAAAGGCCCATCTGGATGTTTGAGAAGTTAAAACCCCAAACATGTGGGCTATGCCTTTGGAGATGACTGACTCAAGCCTTTGGTTGGGGTTTTCAGGTCAGTGCCTTCATTGCTGAGCTGTATTTTTGGAGAACCCTCAGGAAATTAGGTTTTTCTTTCTGGAGCAGTGTACTCCTGAGAGGTCTGTGCCTCAGGATCCTGCACTGCGCACATACTCCGGTACTTCCCGTGTCAGAGGTCCTTTAGTTTGGATGAGTTACAAGATGCAGACCATTTTGGCAGGTTCAGCCCCAGCCAGGGCAGCACAGAGAACTGGGTGCTGCACTGCCCATGGTGCAGCAGGAAGAAGAGAATGGAGAGGAGTGGGGAGGCAGGAGAGCAGCGGGGTGTGATGGTGGGTTGCTGCAGGGCTGTGATGGTGGGTTGCTGCAGGGGTGTGATGGTGGGTTGCTGCAGGGGTGTGATGGTGGGTTGCTGCAGGGGTGTGATGGTGGGTTGCTGCAGGGGTGTGATGGTGGGTTGCTGCAGGGCTGTGATGGTGGGTTGCTGCAGGGCTGTGATGGTGGGTTGCTGAAGCCCGACGTGAAGCCCCAGTGATGCTCTGCTGGCTCAGCAGCTCAGCCCTACGCAGGGTTTGCTCAGGTCCCTTGTTAAGCTGTGCTGCAGTTTGCTCCTGCACTGGCTGGCTGATCCCACAGCTCTGTCTCTGCTTTCCCTTCCTCCAGGGCCGGCTCTCCGATCACGGCTGTGCTCGCGCTGGGAGGGTGGCCTTTTTCCTTCAGACTGAAATTCACAGGTATAAAAAGTCCACAGTAATTTTAAAAAAACTTCTAGTATTGCTAAACCAGTAGCTTCTCTCATACTATGTACTTTTTATTGTCTTAAGACAAAATATCTTTTGTCCTTGTTTCTTCCTCAAGGCATTTGAATCTATAAACATTTAAGCATCTATGGATCTGTACAGATAAATAATATCTAATGGATATGCCACTGTCTCTGTAAACCAGATTTTTCTTGTTGCAGTGATTAGGGGAGGGTAGAAAAGGAAATGTATCATAATGATTGGCACATGAGAAACCACTGCCAAGTCAGTGCCAACACAAATTAATGCAGCTTTTTTTCTGGAAAGCAATTGTGGCTATACTTAGAACATGTTGGTACACTCCTGATCCTGTCTAAAAGGAAGGAGTCACATGCAACACATTGAGCAGCATCCCAGGAGGAGCCAGCCTGGTCCTGCAGCAGGGTTGGGATGCACAGCACTGCCAGGCAGACCCCTGCCTGCGGGGGCTGTGGGGACAGACCTCGGGCCACAGGCACTGCTGCCCTGCCACCTCCACATTTCACGGGGCTGCGAGAGCAGCACAGTCAACACAGCGTAAGGTTAAAAAGAGGGAAAGGAGAAACCAAACATCAGGGTGTGCTGGACAACAGCAGAGCTGCTATTTCTGTTGGAGCTCCTGGAGCCTCGGTGACAAGTCCCCCACAGGCTGCAGCTCCAGCCACGCCACAGTGCGGGGTGTAGCTCTCCAGCTGGAGGAACCTGCTCACACACAATTGGTTCTACTGCTGTTGTTGAGAATCCCAGCTCCCTGGGCCTCACCGTTGTGCAAGCCTCCCCCTTATCGACAGCATATCTGTTACGTGATGCTTGTCTGTGCTCTGAGGCTCTGCCAGCACTGGGAGGCAGCTCACAGCACACAGCAAATCTGCTTTAACTGCCTTGGAACAAAAGCCTAATGTAGTGTGCAAAATAGAGGGAGACAAAAGG